CTGACATGGTTGCGCTTGGTGATTTCCTCAGGCGTATGTAGACGGTACTGCGGCCAAACGTCGTAGGTGTCGATAATGTGGAAGAAGATAGAGAGGATCCAGTAGATGATGATAGGCAGGATGGGGAACATGTAGAAGTTCGGGATGCCGGGAACAATATCTGGAATGGCCTTCTCCGTGTAGGAAGGGAGAGGTGGAAGGTCGTCAAACCAACTCGCGTTGGTCGAGGCCATGACAGTGGCCATGGTCTCGTTCACCATCGCAGGCGTGTGGTGGGATGACAATGGGTCGACTCAATTTCCAGGTTGACAAAGGGAGGCCAAGGCGAGATGGTCGTTATGGCGGGGTGGAGGAAAGATCGTGAGAAAGGGCGGTGTTGTGTTGCTTGTGATTATCGATGGCTGGGTGTAAAGGAGTGTCTGCAGTTGAAGCGGTCGCAAGGTCGAAAGTAGGGTCGTCGAATAGACGCAGGCGTGGAAAGATTGGAAGGGAAAGTCAAACTTGAGGTCGACGGACCTCTGAGGACGTGGAGCCGTGCAGGTGGCGAGTGGAGTCTCGGGAGCGACGGAGATGATCTCACTGTGAGGTGCGGCTGACTAAGTGTCTCCCGCAGCTGTCGACGTGGGCGATTACAGTTGGTGTCGAGTGCTGGACACGACGAGGAGCAAAACTGATGTCGGATCAGTAGATGAGTGAGCTAGATGCTATGATTTCCGAGCGAATCGAACGATGTGCGTGTTGTTGAAATAGATGGATTCCTGACGAACTGGCCATGCACTCCGAAGCTTCATTGGTTTCCTGTTTCGGGACCAAGCCAGGCCGCATCATGCCACTGCAAACGTGCACCAAACTCAGAGAGGCCGCCTCTCTCTCTGCCTCTGCACTCGGATGTAGGCTCGCTCGGCTCGGTAGACAGAAGGTAACTGCCTTACTAACATGGAGTGCGGGTTCGCATTCGCACCTGTCCATTGGAGAATGCTCGTCTACGATTACGACCTACAGCCTCGTCCGTCTGTCGCCAGCTGCTAGGGCTGGCGAAGCTATTGATGATCTCCTGGTTCTCCCCTTGCGTCGCCCCCTTTTTCGAGCACCTAGCCTTCCCCATCCAAATGCAAATGGAAGAGAAGAACTTTGTACAGCAGCCTCAGGCACAACATTCAGCAGCAATGCAGAGGCACAGACCACCTCATGCCTCAAGAAGCTGGACCGAAGAGCAGAAGAGGCTAGGCCACTTCTGGGCCAAGCGCCAAAAACCCCACCAACTCGCCGTCCAGTCTGGTGCCGCCCCTCCCACTTTCCAATTTTGCGCGAAGAAAGACTTATTAGATTCTTTTCTCACCCCGCCTGTACCTCTTCCCGCCCGAACTACAAACAAGGACATCCGTCTCCCTACGACTCTCTTTTACATCACCAACGACACAACCCCCGCTCCAACCGTCAACATGAAGATTTACAAGGTACGCCATGGAGAGCCTCCAAAGCATCTACCTCGGCCCCTCCTATACCCCGCGCATGCGACGTAGGAAGAGGGGCAGTAGTGGGATAAATTGAAACTGCAGAATCGCTGACCCCGCATCTCTCGACAACAGGACATCCTCACCGGTGACGAGCTCATCTCCGACTCGTACGACCTCAAGGAGGTCGGCGGTGTCGTCTTCGAGGCCGACTGCGCCATGATCGAGCTCGGCGCCGTCAGCGTCAGTGCGTACTGACCATCCCCGCGTCTGCTGAATGGAATCTCCCCCCCTTCAAGCACAAGCAGCAGTACCCCGCCACCCAAGGCTCCGTTCGCTAACGGCGCTCTCCCCTCAGACACTGGTGCCAATGCTTCCGCCGAGGAGGCCGAGGAGGCTCTCGATGACGACGTTGTGAAGGTCAACAACATTGTCAACTCTTTCCGCCTCCAGTCCACCTCCTTCGACAAGAAGGGCTACCTGTCCTACCTCAAGGGCTACATGAAGGCCGTCAAGGCCCACCTCCAGGAGACTGGTGCCTCTGCTGAGGAGATCACCAAGTTCGAGAAGGGCGCCCAGACTTACGTCAAGGAGACCCTCCTCCCCAACTTCAAGGACTGGGAGTTCTACACTGGCGAGTCCATGAACCCCGACGGAGCGTAAGTCTATTCAGCCCTTCCCTTCGCCACTGCATGGCCCCGAAAAAGGGTACCCCCGAGAAACAATGAATTTCCCAGGCTAACTCACTCGCCCCCCCAGCATCGTCCTGATGAACTACCGCGAGGACGGCGTCACCCCCTACATTGTCGTCTTCAAGCACGGCCTCAAGGAGGAGAAGGTTTAAATAGACTTTTTGTTCTGTCCCGCCGTCCCTCCCGCCAAAGTCCTCCGGCAGAAGAAGACTCTCCATATCTCATAACGTAGTCCACGAAATTCCGCCCTTCGATAACGAGAAGAGCAAACTCTCACCATCATGGCGCCGCCTGGTCAAGCACCAGTGATGAATCGCCCATCTGCCTTGACATATACCTCATGAGACCCGTAGCAAAGCAAAAAAAAGTCGTGTCGGTGGCGTTTTGCCGCTGATGCATAATTTCACAAATATGAAATGCGCCTAGTCGTGTGATGATGAATGATGAACAGCGTGCAATGATACCTTTCATCAAAATATGGCTGTGTTGCCGGCATGGTACGCTCAAGGTTGGGAAAAACAACGCCTCTAATGCTAGGGATCGCACTCGCTACAAACTCTATCTGAAATAAATGTACCCAGAGATTGACCATCAGAAACGCATCACCACTGTGGTCTCGTCGACAGGGGAACCGGCGGCGGCGGACCCCCGTCGTCCGCAGACGGC